CGAAGTGAGCAAAAGAGGTGAACAGAATTTTGATGATGAATGTTCGTTTGGCATGTGATGTTCGATCAGCTGACCGAGTCGCAACCTTTGCTTCGAATTGTGCAAAATAGATGAACAGAAGTATGGGTTGGGCTGTATGAAGGTTCTGGATGATGAGAAGTTTCTTTAAGAGGTATTTGGGTTGAGGCAGATTATAGTTTGGTAGTGTGGAGTCTAATGATCTTCCTGATTGCCTGTAGTAGTTATTTTAGTGGTGGTTTTGTTGGTGAATATGTGATTTGGTGGGTATGTGGGATGAATGTGCATATTGATCTTGAGGGTCTACACCGCAGTAATGCTGTGTTGAATTGTTTTGGTTTGATGTGTATGTTTGTAGGAGACGTTTGTACGCTTTCTTAGTGCTGGGGTCTGATGACGAGTAATGTTGCATGTGGTTGCATCGAATGTGTTGAGACGTTTACGTGTATGGAGTTTTGGGCGGATTGAGTGTCCTGATTGTAAATTTCTGAGCTGACTGAGCTTTAGACATGTTGTGTTTTGCGTTATTTCTGGTGGGAACGTGAACGTTGTGATTTGATGAAATGCAATGAGCTGTCGAATTGATTCCAATTTATGGTTGTTGATTAGAGGGATGGTGCGGCCGTAGAGGAGTTTCGATGTTATTGATTGTGCACGTGTTGTTTTGCACATTGCCGTATCGCACACAGAGTGAACTGCAAGCATTGAAACACATCATTTTAGATGTTTAGGTTACGTGATTAGTATTTGTTTTAGAGAAGAATTCATCGTTATGGTCTTTTTCATCTATCTCGAATACAAAGCATAACGTATGATAAAACCGAGTAATAACACTAATCTAACACAATGTAATATAAGGATGGCGAGTACGTGCAATTTATAATAGTGATGTGTATCTCAGGATTACTAATGAAACCGAGCTCATCGCTGTTTTTCTACGATAGAGCTAGTGAACATTGGAGATTCTACGTTCGTTGAGTACCTACGTGGTAAGTGGTTTGTGCTTTCTTGTGTCGTTTCCAGTCAGTGTGTAATTCATAGGTGTCATGGTAGGACATATATATCCTATTGAGATGGTGTCTTTTTGTCATTTTCTCCTCTTTCAAAAATAGTTATTGGCGTTCTTGATTTGTTCTTTTCGAACAGTTAGATAATAAAAGAAGTTATCTTCTACTTGATATGAAATACCACGCCTTTTTGATTAAGTATATTAAGGGTAGATCTTAACAGTGGTGACAGCTGTTATTAACCTTAAAATTAAGGTTTCATTGTTTTTTAATATCCATTATTATTTGTATTTTGTTTTTGGCAAGGGAACATCGTCTTTTATAGGATGTACCTGATATTCAATATCTTGTATGCTTATCGAGTATTTATATGATTACTCGATCTAAGTTAAATTTACAGAACATTTCTATTTCCGCGCTATCATCTACTACAATTAGTGAAATTTTACCTGATAAAGAAGAGTTTTCTTCTGACGATATTAATACAATTATGGCTAGAGTATCTTCTATTAATGAATCAGATGCAGATGATAAGAAACAAAGTATTGAATTGATAGAAGAAAAAGCCCAACAAAATTAAAATACAACTAAAATGTTAACAGTTAATGAGATGCTACATATTGATCAATGGTTATTGGATTTGTTTAATGTTTATGAAGAGTTATATTTTCCAATGTTATTTCGTGTTTACAATGTTACACAATGTTTTTTAGAGGAAGAAAAAGTTTGGTATGAACAAGAAAAATAAGAAATAAAGGGTGATTGGTTATGTTTTTGTGATAAATTAAAACAACATGTTCGCATTCGGTTAGAATCTTATAACAGTAACTATGAAAAACATCAACCTATTGTTGATCTTCTTGATAAGAAATATTTTACAGATAATCTATATTTATTACCAGATAATGATAATTCATCATTTAATTCTCACCTTAGTGCTACAATGGCTCAAGAAATTATTAGATCACCTACTTATTTTCGGGGGCGCAACTGAGGATGTTTTTGATTGGTTGGAGAAATTGGAACAGCGATTCAAGATGGCGAGTTGGTCTGATGAACATAAATTAAAATATATTTCAATACATTTACAAGATGATGCGCATCAATGGTGGATTCAAGCGTCAAAAAGAATTCCGACCTGGTCAGAATTTGTGAAGGAAATTAAACAGGCATTTGAACAATTACGCTGGTATAAACAATCAATTAATCAAACGATTACTCAGTATTATGATAAAATCATAGAATTATGTACGAGAATTGATCCTGATGTGCCTGATTTGTTGAAATTACAATATCTTATTGCGGGTATGTAAAAGAGTCATTAAAATTACATATAGCATTACATGATCCTCAAACTAGTGCATCTTTTTTGCTGTATGCCCGCAAATTGGAAGACACATTGCTATTTACTAATAATCTTTACGAAATTAATCAAACAAACGATCATCATAATGTTACTACAATACAACAACTTTCACCTTCGTCTAATGGTCACTCTCGATTTTACAATCGTCATCACACGAATTCTGAAAAAACAATCACATCAATAAAATATTCCATTCAATAACAAAGTTACTCATAACAAACAATTTCATTATGGATCATCAAAATCAACTTCAGTCGTTTGCTATAATTGCAATACTCCTGCACATTATTCTCGGGACTGTACCCGTTCCCATTTCGAGTGAGGAAAGCATCATTCGATGGTGTTGCTTCCAATATATTATGTAATAATCCATCGATATTTAATACTTCTTTAATATATACATGTGGTCAATTTCTTGATAAAGCTCCAACAAAACATTATTGGAGTTTACTATTGGATCCATTATATATTCTACAATATCATCGTCTACATTGTCTATTATGAATCGATGTGCTATATATATGATTACTTGGCCGTATCTTATTTACATCGACCAGTACTTGAAAAATGGTGTCTTCAAGAATTCAGACAATCACGAATATGTTTGTTATTAACTAATCCATCATCAATTATGCTTGATGAACTCGAAGATATATCGGATGATCAGATTCATTTTAATCAACTTGAACCAACCATTTATTCTTCGTGATACAAACCAATCAACTGGTGAATTCCTTACTCACACAAATTCATCATCAAAGCATCATACAAGAGCATATGCTCGCCGTTCGTTTCACGATCGCTTGAAAAGAAATAAAAAAGAAACATTATATTCGTGGTGTTTTATATCATCGATTTAATATGTTTACGATTAAACAAATCCTTCCAGGACGAAATGTTCATTTTCTCCATATTAAACGAAATGATGCTGAATTAATTGTTGGAGTTAAAAATGCTTTACTAGGTGATGAATATCAACACCGTTTACCTTTGGATATGTTTAATCGTCATCAATTCATGTGTTATTGTAATAAACGTGTATGCCGGTGAAAAAATTTGTTTTTTCTCCTTTCACATGTTTCGTTTTGGTCGTCTATGTCTATTTTTGTTTTCTTGTTATGCCTGTAATGTTACATAACATGTTATATAAATACATATATCTGAATATATGTGTTATGTTCTTCGTTTCTATTTCTGTTATTGCTATTACTTTTTCTGCTCCTGTTACAACTATATTATCATTTTGTTACGGTTATCACATGTAAAACTTTTTCCTACAGGGTAAGGTGTCGTGCTAGGACATATATATCCTATTGAGATCGTGTCTTTTTCTCATTTTCTCCTGTATGGAAAATAGTTATTGCTGTTCTTGATTCGTTCTTTTCGAACAGTTAGATAAAAGAAGAAGTTATCTTCTACTTGATATGAAATATCACGCCTTTTTGAGTAAGTATATTAAAAGTAGATCTTAACAACAGGCAATAACTAATCTCCATACAGAATCATTTGGATTCGATTTATTCCCTACATCTAATAACATAATCTTTGCAAATACTTCAAATAGCTTTCGATGAGAAGCAAATCGCAATACCTAAAACGGCGGGTGTGGGTGATCTGTTGTTGTGCAAAACATCAGAAACAGCACAGACATGCATTAAACTCATTCTATGAACAAGATGCATCCAAAATACCTCTTTAAATGCAATATTTACATTGAAAAAATTACCTCAAAATTAAAAAAATTCTTCAACATCCGGGGGCCAGCCCCCGGAACCCCCGTTGGGAGGCGAAGCCCCCCAAACCCCACAAGCCGGGGCGGCGCCCCAGC